GTGCTGTCCCATCCCGACACCCGTGGCGCCCTCCTTACCACGGGGCCCTCCGATGGGGGAGGGGTCGTCCGCTGATGAGAGCATCCAGGCTCCTAGCTGGCCCCGCCGAGGCTCTCCTCTCCTGCCGAGTTGCTCCAGAGAAGGAGCCTCCTGTACTCCCGGCGCTGGCGTCTTTTGAATGCCGTGCCGGGGCTGCGGCACCAATCCCTGCTCGGGGTGGGGGGGGGGGTCATGCAGCCATGCTCCCAGGACTCCGCCCCTTGAGCTTGCCCAGCGCAGTGTTGCCGTGGCGACATAGCCGACATCTCCGCCAGCGACGGGCGTGACGTCATCCGGCGGTGCCGGCTGGGCGGTGTCCAAGCAGCCCGGGCAGCGCCGGGCTTCCCTAGCCTGCCGGCTCCAGAACGCCTCCTGGGGCTGGCCCTCAGTGCGGGGCGGGGGCGTCCCATCACAGCAGCCAATGAGAGCTGTGATCCTCCCATACCTGCAGCGGCACAGGTCAACATGGAGGTGGATGCCTGCCAGGGACTAACCCTGCGGACTGGAACCAGCCCATACATATCAAGAGTAGGGATGTAAGCAACTAGTTGAGTTACTACTCAACTCATCGCTTCTCCCGCACCTTGCTGCCTCTATCAGAGGCAGAAAGTAGGGGAGCAGGAGCCAGTGCTGGGGGGAGCTGGCTTAAAAGCTAGTTCCCCCCAGGACAGTCTCCATGGGGGAGCAGGGAATGCAGAGGTGTAGTGGGGACTGGGCATGAGCCAGGACTCAGCTGTCCTGGCTCACACGTGGTCCCAGACACTGTGCTTCTGCTTTTTAAATGGAGTAAGAGCTGCCTTTCTGCAAAAGTTAGCCATATAAATCCTTTAATTATCCCTCCACCTTTATCAATTGGCCATGGATATATTTCTATTAGTAGATATACATTTTAACTGACATTTACTCTCAATTTTTGAAGAACTAAAACTTCAGAGGGATTAAACAACATTTTTGCTGTATTCAGCCACTTAAGTTTATGGACCTGGTTAATGTACTAAGATTATTTATAAAGACAGTCCTCAGTTTCCAGAAAAATGTACTGCTTTTTACTCTTGTACAAAATTCATAAACACGATTATAAATGAAAGAATTGCATTAGCTCTAAGATCAGTTTAGATGAAAAACTCCAGCTGAACTTTCGTTAAGCCAAATGTGAAGCATTCACTATAAACAACTTCAGTGGCATGCTATTGCTTCCACAGCACAGTGAAGAAAGGTTTTTTTGCAAAGGTCCAACTTTAAACAAGGCACAACAGGAAAAAAACTAGAACACAGTGGATCAAATTATATCACCAAGTATGCTGAAACTGCTCTCTTTCTTGCATTTGTGCAGGCACCATTGAGGGTTTTTGGATAATGAACATCTAAAGATAGCAAGTACAACTTGTGCCGAAGATCCATTTTAATCCATAAAAAAAAAAATCCCAGCAGATAAACTAGAAGGTTGGCAGTTCATAAAATCCTACAGTAACTTTATATATACATACACGCACATTAGATTCATTGGACAATATTTAAGTTTTGCATATTACTCTTTTCATAATAATCACACTGTTACTCGGGGCCTCTAGAATTCTGTTACACTTAAATCCCTAGTTCTCCAATAAGCATAAGAAAACTATGGCTTTTAGTTTGTTTTAGCTTTTGCAATTGTGTTGTGGCATTTTTTCAACCAAGTACAGTAAACTTCCAATAATCCGGCACCTTTAGGAACCCAGGGGGTGCCAGATATGCCAGACTATTGGAAGGGGAGGGGTCTAGGGTGGTGTGGGAGGGATGCCACCCCAGACCCCTCATAGCCCCCCCTTCTGATAGTCTGGCTCTGCCCCAGGCATCCCCGATTCAGCTGCTGCTGAAACTGACCAGCGGCTGACTCCGGGAAGCTATGCCTCGGGCTTCCAGGAGTCAGCTGCTGGGCAGTTTCAGTAGCAACACCCCTTGGCGCTGTGGGACCAACCCGGCAGCCCCCCAGCTTCTCTGCCCCAGGCATCCCCGATTCAGCTGCTGCTGAAACTGACCAGCAGCAGCTGAATCGGGGATGCCTGGGGCAGAGAAGCTGGGGGGCTGCCGGGTTGGTCCCACAGCGCCAAGGGGTGTTGCTACTGAAACTGCCCAGCAGCTGACTCCAGGAAGCCCGAGGCATAGCTTCCCGGAGACAGCCGCTGGTCAGTTTCAGCAGAGGCTGAATCGGGGAAGCCAGGGGCAGAGCAGCTCCAATGGTCCCGCTGCCCGGAGCACTTCCGGGTTCCTGATGGTGCCGGACCATCAGAAGGGCCGGACCAATGGAGTTTTACTGTATACAGCTCATCTGTAGTCCAGTAGCTCAGGATCCACCCTCCCTCCTAACAAGCAGTTGTTTTTTCCATTTACTGTCTCCTGTGGAGATACCATGCCTAGTAGTCACACAGACACTAACACTATATTCTTGAGCATAAGTACTTTCCCAACTGAAACTGAAAAAGAAACATACATAAAACCTATGTGCCTGTTTAGTTTCATGCTGCAAAGGGTGTTACTTGGGAAATGCTAGTCTACAGACGCTCCGAGGTAACCAAATGCCTGTACTGAGACTGGCAAGACATCAACTAGCAGGAGAAAAGAGAAAGACAGACTTGGGAGGTGGAAAAGCAAATAAAAATCAGGCCTCCAAGAACTTTTTCCCTAACTTTCTTACCCCATACAACGGGTCAGAGAACCATTATTGAAAAGTAAATGAAAATGCTCTTCCCTACCTGTTCCACAAATTACAGAATACTGAAAAGGCAATGTCAAAGGCAAATTACATTACAAAAGTGAAGTAATTTAAAATCCATATTTGGATTTGGACACTATATCACTTCGGAATTCTTACACCCTCACCGCAAGGCTGGTATTTAATAAAATTATAGTGTTTATGCCTGCTGTCATCAGTTCTAAACTGAATATACCTCCCATTTCCAAATCACCTGTCATGTAAAGCATTGCTAAAGAGAGAAAAGAACAAATATGTTTCATTCAATGTGTTACTGAGAAAGTCATTTTAATTTGCAATTATTTACACAAATATCTGGTGATACCAAGGAAAACTGAACATGCAATAACTGCTGTATTAAATACTGCATATTTACATTGTGACATTATGACTTCAGCAGATTATGAAAATACTAAATCCATTTGTTAGGGAGAAAAATTTGTGTAAATGAGGCAAATCATGTCAGGCTGTACCTGTAATAACCTTTTCTATGAAATCTCTAAGTACTTTAGTGGCCCTTGAGGTAGTGCTACAGAAAAATGCAGAAGCGTTTTATCACTGTGTCATCTAATCTTGCTTAGGTCTAGATGACAATGTGGGAAGTACAGCAGTGTTTAAGTACTAAACTACTACCAATGAGTGCACTAATGTAGAGAGAGCAGTGCCATTTCTAATCATTACCTCTCTAGATCCGCACTGAGAAGAGAGCGGTGGTAAAAAAAAGCCAGTATCTTTCTTCCCTTGTGCTCCCTTTGATAACAACATTGGTGAAGCTACACTATTAATTGACTTGCCATCAGAGATATGTAAATAATAGCTAGTCATAAAGCATCCAGTCTACAACATAGGACTCTCCCCTAAAGCTTCAGAGGAAAGTGAAACCATGGAAGTGTCCCAAATCATTTGTTAAATACCGTAAAGGGTGGCAGTAGTGTCTATACATATGACTTTTTCTATAAAACACCTTCAGCTAGAACAGGTCATAGACTTTAAAACCAGAAGGGATTGTGATGATCATCTAGTCCAGTGGTCACCAACCAGTAAATCGGGATCTACTAGTAGATCTTGGAGCCTCTGACAGGTGATCCTGACTGGTTTGGCCAAGAAGCTATCAAGTGCTGGCACTTCAGTTACCCTTCTCCACACTGCTGCGCATGTCCTGCCCTTTGCCTGGGAGTTGCTCCTCCCTGGGAGCCTCCTGCTTGCGGTACAGAACAGGAAATGGAGGGAGGGGTGCTTATGTCAGGGTGTCCCCTCTCCTCCTGTATTCTATCTCCACAGAGCAGAGAGGGGGCACAACAGGGCTTGGGATGGAGGGAGTTTGCTGGCTGCTTTTGAGAGTGGTGCAGGGGCAGGGCAGGGGTGAGCCTGCCTTAAATCCACTGCACCACCACCCAGGAGCCACCTGTGGTAAGCAGTGTCTAACTGAAGCCAGCTCCATTCCCCTATCTCAGTAATGAACCTCCTCCTGCAGCCCAAGCCCCTAACCCAGGCTCAGCTCAGAGCCCCTCTCATTCTCCAAATCCCTTAGTCTAAGACCAGAGCCTGCGCCTCAACCTTCTGCCCCTGCCTGGTGAAAGGGCGGGAGGACAGAAATGCATGTAGTCTATAGCACTGACCTATAAGCTTTTGCTTATTGGTTAATTGGTTAATCAACTACACTACTACATCCCTACTCTGGCTAAGTTATTGAAATCCTCAGATCTTCAACGATTTAGTTCAAATCAGCAAGTGACCTGTTTCTCACACAGAGAAAGGTAAAAACAAAACAAAATACAGACTCTCTTGCCAATCTGATATGAGGGAAAATTCCTTCCTAAACCCAAATATGTCAACCAATTATACCCTGAGTATATGGGCAAGACCCGCCAGGCAGACACTATGGAAACAATAATCTGTAGTAACTGAGTCCAGCCCTCCATCTCTGGCTGTTGAAGGTATTTGCTAAGAGAAGACATTGTTGGACCATTTGCCACTGCAGACAGTCTCAACCCAGAAACACCAACGTGTTTTATCAGTTTTGTCAACTAGAATAACCTATTTCTTTCTGCACAGACTCAGTATTTGATGCTATATACCATACCCTGCCATTAAAGCATACATACAAAAGATCATAATTTCCTTAGTCTGTAGTGTGGTTTTTATTAACAATTACCAGAACTGTTTACATTCTCGTAGTCATCACGATGTACAAGCACAACATCATTCAAAATATTTAATTGCCTCTTACCCTGCGTAATCCACATCTCTAGGATAGCTTAACAAGCGAAGTCCTTGTTCTAGCTTGCGTAAACTTCCTTTTAAATCTCCTGTTGCCATTATTTCACACACTATTCTTCTTTTCGATTTTGTGACAAGTTTTAATACGGGATATTCTCTTCCTTAGAAAGAAAACAAACAAACATGACCATTATAAACTACAATAGGATTACCAGTGAAGCCCAGGCTTTTCCTCCCTAGACATTGTCCTATTTCTGATACCTATTTCCCAATATGATATTAAGCCAAGATACTGCAGAAATTAATGTCTGTGTTCTTCCTCATTCAAACTAAAAGCATACAATAGATAAGTCAGACAGTACACTAGAATTATTACCATCTGAAAGGGAAATCAGAGTTCAAATTCTATAGTTGGGTTATTGCTTCTTAAACAGTTTGCTCAGGCAGAACAAAGACATGTGTTTTAGTCTACGTCTGGTAGTCCTACTATTACCGTCTGAAGACAGAGCTATACAACCAGCTTATGGGATTTGGATGAGTCTTTATATCAAAGAAACAAAGGCTTTTTAGCATGAAATGTCTCACGTGAAGAATATCCCCTTCCCTCCCCAAAATTTATATTAGTGAAAAGTAAAGTTAACGCTAAATCACCCCTACTGGGGAAAAGTACCTTTGCCAGTAAGACCTGTATAGCCATTAAATAGGACCATAAATAGTTTTGTAACAACTCAATCTCTCTCCTTTCTTAGGGCTCCTGTTTCTTCTTTCATTCCGAAGCGCTACCTGAAAAAAGTAGACACTCTACTTTTCTATTTAGCTTCTATTTCCCTGAGTCACTCCATATCACCATGGAGAGGTTCAGAGTAGGTGTCTTCCCCCAACACAACCAGTTGAATAGGACTGCTTTGCCCCTGAAAGTATAGCCTATAGATTGGTAACCTCCAACCTAGGACCTTGGAAATTTCAGATAACGAGAACCTTCTTAAAAATTAAGGCTTGCCAAACCACTGGAGATGAAGAAGAAGGAAGTGATAAATGGACGTTTTTGTTGCTATTCTAATGCTTTTGTTGGGTCCAAGCTGTTTCTAAGTGCTGTTTCCTTTACAGTATGGATTTGGAAAGCAGGAGGAAAGAAATAAAAGCATGGGGGATCCCTGTCAGCAGCAGCAATTTGTGCATGTGAGCATGAATGGGTTCTGCAACATCCAAGCTACTACAGCTGTTTTGTGTCCCTCTGCAATTCTCCATCTCAGCAGACTGCTCTGAATACACCTGGTTCCATCATTGTTTGGGTAGTATCTAGACTAGAGCTTGGGTAATATCTGGATAGTTGAGCCTCAGTAAATAGCCCTAGCTTACTCAACACAGAAAGTGAAATAGCTCCATCTACTCATTCCATAAAGGAAGAATGGGATATGAAGATCTACCCTTTTTGTTTGTTCACCACATTTGCACTCTCAGAAGTGCTACATGGACACTTACTGCTACAAGCCGCAACAAGAGCAAGAACCAGGCTATATAGTCAGACTCAGAAAGGACCAAATTTATTTAGTTTAAAAACTTGTCCTGGTTTCAATTTCTGTTCTGCATCTTCTGATAAAGTCTATTTACCCCCTGAGAAGGCAGAGCAAAACTGCTGGGCACTTCAGGGTCATTCCTAGCCTGCATGTAGCAGGTCTGACTTTGGTGCCCAAGCTATGAGGAAACTCAGAGCTTATTGTTTAACTTCTGTGGAGTTTCCTTCACAGAAGAAACCGAAGCTTATATTAATTTCACTCAGTCTGATCTGCAGCAGAGTTTTTTACTGTGGAAAATTCCTGTCTTGTAAAGACGTTTCATAAGTGTGGACAGGAAAGAGGCGAGACACACAAAAGACCAAAACATAATATTCCTATAATCCCACAATTTAACTCTTGCAATAGAACATATGGAGGCTGGGAAAGGTTTTATTCTATATGTTCTTCTGAACAGAAACACAGAGGAAATTCTTATATGGAGAGAAAAGAAGGATGTTAGGAGGATTAGTTGCCAAACGAGATCTGACGCTATTAGCAACTATGCCTGATTAACAAGTTTCCTTTTTTAAAAAATTCATCTTGAATGGTGACTTTAGAATAGATCATAAAAACTGAATTATCACATGCTAATTTCCATTTTTCAAAAAAGCCTATATTGCTTCATATTTTTAAACATTAAATTTCTATTTAGAGAAGCTTTCTGAAGAGCATTTACAGCACTCTGAAAGCACATGTTCAGAAGTTACAGGCAGTCAAACTTGGTGGTTCTCCAGAATGGTTAAACTTTGAAAGCACAGACTGGCTAACAGCCCAGCTTTTACGAGTCCCAACTGAAAACAAATGGCCTATTTCAGAACTCTGCATAAACTATTTGAACACACGATGCAAACTGCCAAGCTTCCTCTATTGGTACTTCACAAAAAGGGTTAATTAGCAAGAGGACAATTTCCAAGAGTTCAAAGAAAAATTCTGAAAATATGCAGTGTCAAATTATAGAAGATGGCATTTCCCTCAGTATAGTTGTTTACTTCTGTGAATGTTTCAATCAACAAAACAAGGTCTATACTAGCAATGTTTAAAAAAAAAAAAACACATATCGAGTAATAGGGTAGCCATGTAACCACTGAAAATCTCAGAGCCCGCAGGGAAGCCTCCTGGAGCTCAGCCTGTAGCAGGCTCCTCTCCTGGGAGGGAGGCTTCATTGCTGTAGCAAAACCTCAACCCCAGGAACAGGGTGGGCAGCCCTTACCGCTAACTGTTAAATGAAGTACATATGTCCTTACTGAATTTCATCCTCTTTATTCCAGACCATTTCTCCAGATCATTATGACTCTATCCTCCAAAGCACTTGCAACCTCCCCACTCATCTTAGCATAGGCCACAAATGTAAGTGTACTCTCTATGCCAGGAGTGGGCAATAATTTTTGATGGGAGGCCACTCCAAGAATTTGGTAAGTATTCAAGGGCTGTATTCTTCCATTATATTAATGGAGGAAGTATGGGGGTCTGGGATGCAGTTTGGGTGAAGAAGGGGATTGTGACCCAGGGCAGCAGACTAGGATGCAGAAAAAGAGTGCAGAGTCTGGGAGGGAGAGTGACCTGGGATAGGGGTACAAGGGTTTGGGTTGTGACTTGGGACAGGAAATTGGCATGCAAGGTCTGGGAAGGGTATGGGTTCAGGAAAGGATTCTGACCTAGGGTAGGGGTCTAGGAGGAGGGAGTGAAGAGTCTGGGAGGGGATTGTAACCTGGGGCGGGAGTACAGGGATTTGGGCTGTGACCAGGGACAGCAGATTGGGGGCAAGGTCTTGGAAAGGGTTGTGACCTGAGCAGTGGTGCCATATCTGGGAAGGTGTGTGGATGATGAAATAGTGGTGCAGAAGGTTTGGGTTACATAGGGTAGGGGGACAGCAGGTTGGGAGAGAAAGGCACTAGGATGCCACAGGCAGACTCTGGCTGGGAGACCTTACCAGGGTGGCTCCCACCCAGCAGTCTCCTTAGCTAGGGTCCCTGTAGGTACTCAGTGCAGCTGCAAGGGCCATGTTTGCTGCTGTGAACTAAATGCTATGAGCCTGAGGGAATGTGGAGGGAGGGGCACTTCACATGCTGCCTGTCCTGCAAACAGGCAGCTTCTACTGGCCGGGCTTATCCGTTAATCCCATCAACTATGTGCAGTCCTCACACCTTGCTGATTCTGTTTTAAGCCCGCTCCCCACTAGCACCAGATCCAACGTAGCCCCCTGCCCCCACAACCCTCATACTGCTGCCTCTGATAGAGAGGCAGCAATGTGGACAGAGAGGGGGCAGGCGGAAGCCAGTACATGCAGGAAGCCAGCTTTCAAGCCTCCCTCACCACCCACACACACACACCTATCTCTTCTTGGGGTGCTGCAAGTGGTGATGATTTTATTCCTTAGTTGCCCTTGAGCAAGAGAGCTTTGTTCAGTTAAGAGGGACTAACAACAGCTCTCTAAACACTGCAAGCCTAGGAGAAGGGAGAGAGAGGGTTCACCCATTGCCCCCGTGCCCACTCTAACTCAAAGATCCTATTGGCCAGACACCTTTCCTGGGCTCACAGCACTCAGAGCAGCACATGGCTCCCTCTGATAAGCATGCAAGAAGGAAGGGAGGAAGTATAGCAGAGGAACCTGCTGGGCTTCTGACTGGGAGACAACCAGGTAAGTTCCTTTTGGACAGAGGCACCCCACTTCTTCCCTCCCGCCAACCCTCCATCCCCTCTTCTGCAACCCCTAACTACACAAAACAAAAACCCTCTACATTCCCATTCCTGCACCAATACTCTCTCCCAAACCCTGCACCCAAATCCCCTAGCCCTAGTCATATCTCAAATCCCTGCACTAGGGATGTGAACTAGTCATCAACTAGTCAGTTAACTGATAAGCCTAGGCTTATTGATTAACCTAGTCAGCTACTTACATTTCCTGCCCCACCCCCACTTCCTTTTTTATCTGAGGCAGCAAGTGCAGGGGAAGTAGGAACCAGTGATGGTGGGAGCTGGTTTAAAACCCAATTCCCTCCAGCACCGTCTTAAAAGCCAGTTCCCCCTAGCACCGGCTCCATGGTGCTACCTGTCGCTGTTGTTCCCCTCCCCCACCGTGCTGGGCAGCAGCGCAGGGCGGCAGGCAGCCAGTCAAAGGGGAACTTTGACCGGCTTCCCTCACGGACCAGCTCCCTCCTGGCACCCCATGCTGCTGCCCCTGATAAAGAGGCAGCAGCGCGGAGTGGCAGGGGGCTGGATTACATTGGCTGTCGGCCCTTCCCCTGGGAAATAGAATAGTCGACTAAAAGCTAAGAATTCACGTGATTAGTCAACTATTCAATTAATTGATAGCTAACATCCCTACCCTGTACCCACTGCTACACCTCTCCTTCAAGTCACAATTCCGCCTTAGACACTGCACTCCCTCCTGCACCCTCCCTCCCTGTCAGAATCCTCTCCTATACCCATACCTCCTTCCAGACCTTGCATCCCCATCTGCACTCCAGAATCCTGTCTCAGTCACAACTTCCTCCTTCGCCCAAACTCCCTCCCAAATTCCACTCCACACACCCCCTCTCCCCTCCCGTGCATCGAAATCACTTGCCCATAACTCCCTTCTACATCCAACCTCCACCCCAGACCTCATTCCTCCTCCATTAATGTCATGAATGATTGCAGTCTTTGACCACTTACCACATTTTTGGAGTAGCCCTCTATCAAAAATTATTTGCCATCCCTAGTTTGCCCTATACTATATAGCAGTGGTTCCCAACTTTTTTTATACCGTGGACCAGTAAACCCATCCACAAACTTTTGGCAGACCGGTAACATTTTATTTGCATATTAGGTATGCAAATAATGAATGCACAAATAAAATATTACTGGTGCGCCAAAAGCCCCAACCCCCAGAGCCACCACAAACAGCTGGCTTCAGCTCCGGCAGTTGCAACATAGCAGGCAGCTGGCGCAGCTGAAGCTGGCTGTTTGCAGTGGCTCCGAGAGGTACCCTTACCTCCCCCATCCCCCGCCAGCTCTAAACCCTAGAACCCCCCGACCCCTCCACTCCTCCCCAGCGCCAGCCACTGACCCAAGTCCCCTGCACCCAATCCTCCCCAGTGCCAGACTCCCATCTTCAGAGCCCCCCAATGCCAGCCCCCATCCCAAATGCCTCAGTGCCAAGCCCCCATATCTTAAAGCCCTCCACCACCAGGTCCCTTAGTGCCAGCCTCCTTTTTCAAGAGCCCCACTGCACCCAACCCCCAGAACTCCCCCAGTGCCAGACTCCAATATTAGCCCCATCCCCAGAGTCCCCCAGTGCCAGCCCTGCCCCATAGACCTCCCCCACTATTAGCCCTGCCCCTGAATCCGCCCAGTGCCAGTTCCCCACCACAGATGCCCCAGTGCCCCCCAGTGTCAGCTCTTCACCTCTTAGAACTCCCCACTAAGAGCTCCCCAGTACAAGCTCCACCTGCAGAGCCCCTCCAAAGCCAGTCCCTGGCCTCTTGGAGCTAGCCCTACCCCCAGAGCACCCAGTGCCTGCCCTGCCCTGCACCCTCCCTCCCCAACTAGCCCTGCGCTGCTGTAAACACAAAACAAAAGACAGTCTCTGACTAATGAGCTTACAATCTGGTAAGCACAGAACTGAATGCAACATTGCTGTTAATTTGGAGGAGAGTAAAACAGTTAAGTTATGTATGTTAATTAAACGCAAAATGATTTTCAAAAATGTAACTACAGAGACTAAACAACGGCTCTGTGCTCTGGCAGTGTCCCCCAGCGCCGGCCCCAGAGCCGCCACAGCCCAGTAGCCAGAGATTTGTGGCCCAGCACCAGTCCACAGACCAGCAGTTGGGGATCATTGTTATACAGATTTCATGGGTAGATCAGTATCCTGACCCTAAAGGAAGTTGCAGAGGGCTCAAGAGGTTATAGGGTGGAGGGGAAGTGTGCAACATTCCTACCCTAACTTCTGCACTGCCTTAAGATATGGGTGGCTGGAGAGTGGCAGCTGTTAGTCAAATGCCCAGCCTGTAAGACAGTGTCCTGCAAGCAGCAATGGAAAAGGGTGGCAATACCCTACCAGGTCATCCTTATCTCCGTGCTGCTTACTGGAGTGGCGCTGTCTTTACCGGGCTCCAAAATAACAGCCTCCACTCTCCAGATTCCCAGTTCTGAGGTTTACAGAAGTAAGGGTAGCCTCTATACAAAACCATGATACGCCCACAACTTGAATACTGCACACAGATCTGGTCGCCTCATCTCGAAAAAGATATATTGGCATTGGAAAAGCTTCACAAAAGGGCAACAAAAATTACTGGGGTTTGGAATGGGTCCCTTATAAAGAGAAATTAAAAAGACTTGGATTTATCAGCTTAGAAAAAAGGAGACTAAGGGGGAATATGATAGAAGTCTATAAAATCATGACTGGTGTGGAAAAAGTGAATAAGGAAAATACTTATTCCGTTAAAATAACAACTAAGGGTCACCAAATGAAAATAATAGGCAGCAGGTTTAAAACAAACCAAAGGAAGTTTTTCTTCACTCAGCACACAGTCAACCTCTGAAACTCCTTGTCAGAGGATGTGGTGAAGATTAGGACTTTAACAGGATTCAAAAGAGAGCTAGCTAGATTCATGGAGGTTAGATTCATCAATGGCTATTACCCAGGATGGGTAGGAATGGTGACCCTAGCCTTTGTTTGTCTAGAAATGCATGACAAAGGAGGGATCACTTGATGATGACCTGTTGTGTTCCCTCCCAGTCTAGGGCATCTGGTATTGACCACTGCTATGTCAGCAGACAGGAAATTGGGTTAGATCAGGGTTTCCCAGCCTATGGGTCGCCATTACACTTCAAAAGGGTCGCCAGGTGTCTCCCCAGGTGGCTGTTAAGGAGCCATTCACACTTTTTCTGAATTGCCCTGGGTCACCGAGTCTTGCTGACTTCTCAAAATTGGTCCCCCTCTGAAAAAGGTTGGGAACCGCTGGGTTAGATGGACCTTTGGTTTGATCCAGTCTGGCCATTCTTATGGCAGTGCTCAGCCCCTCTCCCGCCCAGGACCATTTCTCACGGGAATTCGCCAAGAATCCTACAGAGAATCCAGCGCCCAGCCCGCCGCTCTGCGGGGGAAGGAGACTTAAGGGCCCCGGCAGAACAAAGCGAAGGGACGCAGGGTCCCTGCCCGCCCCGGCCTCCGGGACGAAGTACAGAAAACTTCGGCGCCCCAGCTCTGGGGAGCGGGGCCAAGACTGAAACAGACGCGGGGCGGCGGGGCCGGGAGGTGGCACCAGGCACGCAGAGAAAGCCCCCTCTTGCCACTCCGCCCGCTTTTTCAAGGAACCTCCCCCCGCAGCGGCTGCGCCGTCCCCGCACCCACCGGAGGCTCCTGGCGGCGGTTTGTATTTTACCGGCAATTGAAGCCCAGCCGCGGGAACCGCCTCCTACCGCGTCCGCATTGGCAGATTCATCGCTCGCTCTCCGCCGCCTACCTGCCAGAGCGCACTCTGGGTCAGCCCTACAGCGAGGTCGCGTTGCCGGGCGGCTGTCGCGGGCGGGGCAGGGTCACTAACATTTAGGCTTGGCCATTAGCCAGGTTCGGCTCGTGCAGAATCTGCCAACACGAATCTGACAACAGCTTCCGCTTCCGGGAAGTCTCGGGTGCTGACGTCACTTCCACCAACAACAGCGACGTCAAAACTAAGGAACGAGAAGGGGGCGGCGGCGGCGGCGCCGCAGGAGGGTTTTTATCTTCTTCTCTCCCCCCTCCCTCCCCCCCAGTACGCGGGGTTTCCTGAGTTCGTTCCCAGCCGGCGAGGTTCACGCACCGACTCGGCTCGTCGCGGCGGCGGTTGGAATCGGAGCTTGGGAGAGGTACGAGAGACCCTCGAGCTGGGTCCGTGGGGTCGGTGTGGAATGATGGGCGCCGCAGCCAATCAGAGATCGGCGCTAGGGCAGAGTTGTCTGAAAGGGCCAATCTGGCGCAGGGGCGGGACTTTCCCTGCCCGAGCGGGTCTGTGAGAGAGTCAGGGGCTCGGAGCCGGCTCTGGGGCTGCTGAGCCTCTGGCCGGCCGGCTCCTGCCTCATTCGCGCCGCGCGTTTAGTGCCTGCGCCTGCCCGCTCCCTCCCAGCGCAGCACCGATGCCCTTTCGGTGCCCCCCAAACACCACCCACTTACTTCCTTTTCTCCTTGGGGCGCTGCGGGCGGTGATGGGTTTAGTGTTTGTTGTCCACGAGCCGGGGGAGCTTATTCGAGTAAGAGGGCGGGGAAGGTGACTCTACAGCAGGCTGATCATGATTCCGAGTTACTTGGAGGACCGTGTGTGGGAGTAACGTGTGACCTAGAAGTGGGGCTCGGGAGGGAAAAGAGGCTGCCGTTGACGTTTTGGATTCCCCGAGGAGACAGTGACAGCTCCGCTTATCACGGCCATGAGCAAACTGAAGCATCTTTTAAGTAACTCTAATAGTAGTTTAAAAAACTTCCTACTTAATGCACCTCGAGCATCTAGCATCCATGTTCAGTAATAATTGTAATGATGCTTCATGGCTTGAATACCTCTGATTGTAAGAGAAGGTGCACAGTGTAATGGGGCTTTGTGCTCACCAAGGGGTGGAATTTTACATTTCTCCAAGGGAACTGGCATTTGCCTTAAACCAAAACAGTCACAGATGTGAGAGCAGGCCAGTAACATTGATGTATATGTACCTGCAGTTTCACACAATATAGTATTGCTGTCAGTGAGACTATGCGTTGACTTTTAGTAGTCTGCAACACACAGCAGCACTGTAATACAGTGTTATTTACCATAACATAGCACACAGAAGTCCTGTGCAGGATTGGGGCCTGGTTGTGTTAAGCTCTGTGCAGAAACAGGTAAATGGGGTAGCGAATATATAAATAAATGTTAGTGGTTATCCCTACTCACAAGAGTAGACCAATCAAAGAGCCTGAATGAGTAGGGAGTACAATGTTGAGGTCTTGGAAATTGATGCCTAAATGAATTTTTTTGGCATCAACATTGAAATCTGAAACTTTCCAATAGAAAATTAAATGGACTACAATAAAAATACATTTATTTGTTATGTTCAAAAGCTTCAGGGGGTAGCCGAGTTACCCAAATTAATCTAAAGAAGTGTGGTGTGCCCACAAAAGCTCATGTTTTATTAGTCTTTAAGACTGCTAGACTATTAATTGTTTAAGTTTTTCCAGTTACTTTTTAGTTACTCAGATGTTTTTAGGCCAAGAAATGATTTTCCTAATCATATTGTAATAGTGAGTTTCTAAAGTGTTCATCTTGATTACTGCAAAACTGAAAATAATTACTTGATGGAGAAAAATAAGACACCTGCTCTAACAAATGCTAGATAATCTATTAAACTGTTACAGATACATTTTAAACTAGCTATGCACTGATTATGATAAAGCCATAAGATGTAATGTATCTCAATCTGTCACATCCATCAAATCTGCTCATTTGGTAATCAACATAAAAAAACTAAGCATAAGAACTGCTATTGTACTACTTGTGTTTGTATCTCTGAATATCAGGAAAACTTACTCCATAAAGTGAAATTGATTAGAAGTGATTGTGGTCTGATTTATGTGTTTACCATAAGATTGGCTTTTGTGTATAAAAGCCCCATGTACTTGATTGTTCTGTGTTTCACTTGAAGGCCTTTAACAGGAAGGCCTTAATCACCTGCAATTGTTATTAACACCAATACTACATATAGACAATCTGTCTTGCAGCAGATCAGAAGCTATAATAAAAAAAAAAAAACAATCCCTTGAGTGTTTGCCTGCGTAAAGTCCACTTGATAACTCAGCAGGCATGATCATTCCATAGCCTATTTCTGATGATGATGCTGTTCTTTATTTCTCACTTATAAACCTCTCTGGAATACTCTGACTTGAAAAAATAATCATCTTTCAATGTCTTGTAATACTAGAAAAAGTGACCGCTTGAGTTAGCGGCGAGGAGTCCTGTGGCACCTTATAGACTAACTGCAGTGTAGGAGCATAAGCTTTCATAGGCAAAGACCCACTTCGTCAGATGCATGCATGTATGCATGCATCTGACGAAGTGGGTCTTTGCCCACGAAAGCTTATGCTCCTACACTGCAGTTAGTCTGTAAGGTGCCACAGGACTCCTCACCGCTTTTGCAGATTCAGACTAACACGGCTACCCCTCTGATACTTGAATTAACAATCTTCATTGTGGGATTCTCCTCACACCTTTAGATCCCGGAGGATTCTTCTCCTATACAGTGGGTGGACAATAATTTTAGAAGGGGGGCCACTTCATAAATTCATGAAGTGGCCCTGGGCTGCCCTGGAAGGGGTGGCACCAGGACACTTCTGTGCTCCCCCACCCACAGTCCCTGATTGGCCAGGGGGTTGGGGAGCGGGTGAAGTCTCTGCCCCTGCCACCCCTCCACCCCCACCCCCCAGAGAGAACTGCCAGTTGTTCTGAAGAGCTGGCAGTTCCTTCTAGGCACCCGCACCCCTGGCAACGGGAAGAGACTTTGCGCGCTCCCCTACCCCTGTGGGCATAGTAGAGTGCAAAGTCTCTCACTCCCTGCCCCTGCCCCTGTTCAACTGATGATTCACTCTATGTGCCACATGCCCCTGGTGGGGGAGGAGATTTTGCATGCTCCCCTATCCCCAGACAATGATTGGCTTGGGAGTAGGGGAGAGGCAGGGTGTCCGTGGGCCGAATCAACTTGCTTGGCGGGCCGGACCAACCTGGGGAAGCTCTCTTGCGGGCCGGACCAACCTGGGGAAGCTCTCTTACCCCGTCCTATACGCTTTTTTTTCTCCTTTTTCACGTCTCAGTATTGTTGATCTCTTGTTGTCTAATTATTATATCATTTGTTTAGTTCCAGCAATATCCTCAGCACTGTACAATGTGCAAAAACAAAGATCATCCCTGCTTCAAAGAACTACAGTTCAGAAGATATTCTCAGAGGACAGGGTCACTGGATATATACACTGGTAGGGATATATTAGATTCTACAAGAGCCTATTAGAGTACGATGGGCTTAAGACTTAAGTTTAACATTACTGTTTATCTGTTAGTGTAGTAATCAGACGGGTAGCTGTGTAAGTCTGTGTCTGCAAAAACAATCAAGAGTCCTGTGGCACCATGGGTCTGGTGTACACTAGGGAGTTATTTCGCAATATCCCTTATAACAAGTGAAGCATCCACACTGCCAAGACCGTTATTTTGAAATAACTCCTGCTCTCCAGGAAGAATAATGCTTATTTTGAAATAGTTATTTTGGAAGTTATTATTTTGAAATAAGTTTGAAATAATTTGCTAGTGTAGACATGCCCTTAGAGACTAACATATATATTTGGGCATGGTCTTTGCCTTCAAAAGCTTTTGCTCAATTAAATCTGTTTGTCTTTAAGGTGCCACCGGACTCGTAATCTGTTCACTGACAAAGACATCAGAAATTCTGAATATGAAGAGCCTCTAACATTTGCAGCTACAGTTTTTCAAGTTTATTTGCTGCCAATGCTTGAGTTACACACAGAGCTGGGGCTGGCTGAAGTCTCACAGATCTGGAAACTCAACAGTTTTCTAAGATCTATACGTGTATAGTGCCTAGCACAGTGGGAATTCTAATTTCAGTTGGCACCTCTAGGCACTACTATGATGCGAACAGGAACAGCCTTTTAAGATCAATCCTTCTCTCTCCTTTGTGGCCACAAACCAGATGGAGTTCCACTACATTGTGCAGTAACCTCGTAACCTCAGGGTGGGCCAAAACCCCAGCTTGAGAACCCTTGCTGTATTCTACTTCAATTTAAATATGTTTGAAAGTATGTTACTGTTTTCTGATTTTCATATACAGTAATGGCGATAGTACTCATATAATGAGCAGCTGTTCAACATGTTTTATGTGCATTGTTCAGTGTGTGATCCTTAACTTTATTGAATTCAAAATCTGTTCTGAAGACAGAATTGATTCCCTACCCGCTCCTGTCCCCCCTTGCCATGGGTTATTCTGTGGTGCTAGTCACTGTGGAATGTGTTTCACACACAATTAATTTACATTCACAACACTGCATGATGTGAGGGAGTGGTTTATTATAATAATTTTACAAATAGGGAACTGAGGCACAGAGAGATTTAAAGTCAAAAGTAGCCACTAATGTTGGACACCCAATTTGAAATAGATAGGACCTGTGTTTTTCAGTGTATTTATAGCAGTATATAGTCCTTCATATATCCATTTCCAGTTCCCAGTGACTGAATTAAAGGAGACAAATTAAGTTTGCACAGGCATTTCCTAATATGTGTTTGACTTTGCAACCTTAGTAATGTTCTTCATAATTGTAGGAAATATTTTGTATAATTTCCTAGGTTTTTAAAAAAATAATTTGAAAATACAGAAATTTTAATTCTGTAGTATCATATTGACATCCACATGGTCATCAGCATGGTTAGAACTTTTAGATGCACTGCACCAAACTCAGCCACTTTAAACTAATGGAGTCATTCATACCCATAATAGGTTATGATCCCCCTCTGTGGACCAGTAACTGAGAGGCATGATAGTTATATTTTGCCAATGGATTTCCCAGATATTTACAGACCGGATTAAAATGTCAACTCAGAAACCTTGGGTTCCATTCCATGCTCTAAAAGAGTGTGTGTTCTAGTAGGTCTGTTTCCTCCTATGCTTGACCCATTCTGCCCCATTCTGTCCAACCTTTTGCCCCTGTCTGGTCTCTTCCTGACTCTTGGCTCCTTCTCCCAGTTCCACTCACCTTGCAAACCATGCCCACCTTTATCTAAGTTTCTGCTCCTACCAGTACCCAGCCCTCTTACCCGACCTGTCCAATTTAAAGTCTCCTCCTCTCCCCCCTCCCCCCACACACACACTCTTGCTCCCCAGGCTCCACCTACCATCTCAGTCTCCCTACATATATTCTCTCTCTCTTTTCTCCTCTGTCCCCTAGCACCTTTCCCTAGTTTTTGCCCAGCCATTCCTATTCATGTCCTATGTCAGATTTTTCTTCTCTATGGTGTTCCCTAATCCCTGTTTTTTCCCATTTCCCCAGCTCCTTGTCCAGTGTATGTTTCCCCCACAGGCAACATTTCCAGCCCCGCCTCTACTTTCCTCACTAGCTCCCAAACCTAGCCTTTCCTATTAAGCTCCCAATCTCCTTACCCAGCTCATTGCAGTCTTCTTCCCACTTGCTCCCAATTTGTTTTCCCTCCTCTTCCAGTCCCAATCTCATCAGATTTCCTGTCCAAATCTATTCCTTTTCCTCACCCTCAACTGGCTTCTGTCCCATGCACATTGGAGACATATGGCTTCCCCCTCCATGCTGCTGGGTGGCGTGCCAGCAGGGGTATTTTTTTAGAGAGGTGGAGAGACAGGCTTCTTGCTGGTAATTCTGATGCTCATCTCATGCCCAGAATAAGGAAAATCCTCCTAAGCCTCCATTGTCCTGCACTGGAGCATGCTGTACTATTGTGTGGGGATAGTACAAACAGCATCTGGTCAGCACTAGCAGTTGTGAAAGGAGAATGGTTAATTTTGAGGTTTTAGCTATTAAGCTCTTTAGCAGGTCTCTAGTGAACTTGCAAACTGGGACTTTTCAGATGCTTTTAACTTAGCAGATTTTTATGCAGATTGCAAAATACACATTCCTGCCCAGTTCCAAGTCCCTGATCCCTAAGTATATGGGTGCTAGAGTAAAGAGAAAGTTTCCAGAATTTTTTATATGGGGGAAAGATGTTTTTCCTACCTCGATCAGAAATGGTTGAACCATGAGACTGAAATTCTCTCCAAAAAAATTCATCTTGAGGTGGACACCAGCGTTGCAGCTCAAATGATAAAGTCTGACAAAATTATAAGCCACTGAAAATCAGTCTTGTAGTTTGAAGTGTCAAGAACCCTTAGCAATAGTTAGTGCAACCAGCCACTCCTTTCATTTTAAGCTTTGTTTGTACAGGTTGAACCTCTGAAATCCAGAACTTCCTGGTCCAGCAACATCCGTGATCCAGAAGGACCACGGATGTTGCTGGATCAGAGAGCCCCAGTGCCCAGGAGTGCAAACTGGCTGGGAGAACCCGTCCCTGGGAAACTCTGTCCCCAGGAAGCCCTGGCAGAGTGGGTCAGCTCACAAGCTCCATTCCTAGGGATTCCCAGTTGGGCAGGGGAGAAGTGGGGCCACGGTGACTGGGGAACTCCGTCCCTGGGGAGCCCCAGAGGGCAGGAGCCCAAGTCAAAGCCTTTCAGGCTGGAGCTCAGTGGCAGTGGGGCTGGAGCAGAGCCAGTCCACAGGACGGGAAGCATCCTTGGAGGCTGATAATGGAGGACCTCCCCTAATCCAGCAAATTCCCTCATTTGGGATGGGTCAGATCCTGAGGGTACCAGACAAGGAAGGTCCAACCTATACTGACAAATGTCTTCTCACAGAATCTGAGTGATGTGATGTTTGTGTTGTGACAGCGTTGGTGTTGTCATGACAGGTCATTACATTCTGCTAGTGGGTCTCTTGACATTTTGTCAAGATCCTCCCACCCAGATGCAGTTTTGGAATTGAAGAAGTGGGTTGTACCCACAAAAGCTCATGATACCATTTACATGTTTTGTTAGTTTTTAAGGTGCTGCTAGATGATTTGTTGTTTTTTTAAGTTTTTCCAGTAACAGACTAACTTGGCTACCCCTCTGAAAATGTTGAAATTGTAAGTCTGCTAGCTAATCTTGCTGGCTGTTGACAGTTGTGAGGCAATTTGATGTCTCCTTCAAAATTATGTCTAGATGTTACAAGATACCAGGTTCTGGGAAGGGTCCGCCACCATACAACCCACCTCTACCCCCACAAACTCACAACTTTAAAGCTCATATATCCTCACAAACTCAGCCTTAGTAAGAGCAAGACACAGAGAAGAAAGGGACCATCATATACACCTGATACAGCAACTAGATGTCTTGAATTTTGTTACTTTGACCTTATATTCCTTTAGCTGTAGCTAATGGATTTTTCAGTGGACATTACGGTTACTTGGTCTGCCTCACCAGAACTTTTGTCTTCTCCATGTTTATGCTTTTTCTTCAAGTTCATTTCTCCTTCCTTATTTTTCTCTTTCTCTTCAATGATTTTAAGCCTTCTAAAATAAATTCCTCCCACTAAGATGTGCATATGTAAGGAAGAGGTGTTTAAATCTCTCATTTTTACATAAACAGAGGTTCCAGTAGAAATATAAACCATTCAAAAGTTAAGGTACAAAACAGGCAGAAATACCCCACCTTTCTTGCAAACTTCTAAAACAATTTAATGTTTTAGTTTTATGACCACTGACCTTGTTTTCCCTGAACCTCCTCTTATTGTTAGTTTTCTACTGTTTACAATTTTAAGCTGTTTTTGGATCTGTTTCATCATCTGTTTCTCTTAATATAATAAACCTGATTCTGATTTCCTGGTACTACTTGAATATGAATAATAATAGTATGCAAACTAACTCCTACCACACCAGTGTCCAAATACACAGTTCAGACGCGTCTTAAGTATTTTTTTTAACGAGCCAACACAGGAAACTGCAGCGCTCTGGAAAGCACTGCCATTATTGCAGGGGTATAAAAATAAGGTTGTTTATCTGGGTAGGTGTAAAACACCCTAGAATTCAGAGAATGTTCCCTGCTTGAGAGGGGAGTTCAAGTGTGGCCTGCTTTACAAGCTAATTAATTTCCTTGTCCCTTTGATTAAACATAAGTTATTACTGAAGTATGTCATTCAGATGGGTCAAGTTTAGAAGGCTGCTGAATTAGACTTCAGAATATGCTGCATTCACTGCAGTCTATAGCACAACTAACTTGCAATAAGTAAGAAATAAAGTTGCATACACAGCTGCTGAGTTGTTAAAAAGAGGGCATAGCCTAGAACAACCTTGGTTGTGTTAAAAAGGTCTTGGATGCCTTTTGACCAACATCTTGTGGTGCAATGAAGCACATTTAACATTAAAAAAAATGCAGTCCTACAGCCATCCTTTCTAAATCTTATATTTAAAATTTGCCAGAAAGAATATTGATCGCTTACTGTCTGCATTACAGTTTCCAAACAGGCCATTTGAGTAAATTTTACAAATAATTCTGAAGACACTAGTCCCAAACATTGCACTCCATATTGCAAGTCCTGTTTACTTGAATGGAGCTACTTACGTTAGCAGGCATAGTCGTCAAGTAGTATTTACAGAATCTGGGCCTGTATTTTGTAATTCTGTCTAGAGTAGAAATAACATTTGGCAAATTTTATTTTCTAAGTTTTCATCAGCTTTTTTGTTCTCTGTAGCTGTTTGTTTTCATGGGGACAGAGGATAAACTTATAGCATAATAATTATCAGATAATAAGAACAATGTTGTCAGTCAGTTCTAACTTTTGCTTTTTTCAGCTTTTCGGTACCGATCAGATCTTTCCTAACACTTTTCATAAATTGCCAATGCAACTGTAAATGTATAAACTAATTTCCTTAACAGCCATAAAAAGGCCCACTCTCAATTTTTTTCCTAAATAACCTTTAATTTGGATTTTATGATCTGCAGGCTCGCAGATGGGTCAGGGGCTGTGGAGAGTGGCTAGGAACCAGCAGCTGCAACACCAAGGATACAGTGGGCAAGGCTATCTCACCAGGGAGCATGGCAGAAGATTAGCTACTAACAGCATTTCAAACACAAACCACCGTAAACAAGCCCAAGGAGGAATTGACATCTACCATCTGTTGAAAACAAGAAAATCTAAAGAACAAGAAGGATTCATTAACCTGGAAATGCTGCCCCCTGAGCTTAGTTTTACCATTTTGTCATACCTGAATGCAACAGACCTCTGCCTGGCTTCTTGTGTCTGGCAGGATCTTGCTAATGATGAGCTTCTCTGGCAAGGGTAAGTTAATGTGAGGTCACCTGCATGGGATAAAGAGGATTACTAGATTGATTATTGGTTGTCACATTGTTTAGCCTTTTAAACAATGTTTCAAATGTGAAAAGTTACTGTTTAACTTATACTAATGAACTGTTTTATACATTTTTAAGGATTTTCTATTTGTCTTTTTGCAAACAAATATATTACCCAGGTCAAATCATACTTGACAGGGAGAAAATGAGCCCAGTGCAAATGCAGAATAATATTTTTGTAAGTTCAATCAAGTGTTAGAAGAGATTACTGTATATACAAGGGTAAGCAAATACTTAGTACAAATCGATGTGCAAATTATAAACATTCTGTTGCATGTGGTATCTCTTCTAGAAAGAAGACTAAGGGCTTGTCTTCATTGAAGTGTAATTCAAGTGTTACCCCTAACTCAGCTTTCATGCATGCAGAATACTGTAATTCATATTCAATGATGCTTTAATTTCATGAACAGATGTAGATTGACGTTCAAGTGATGCAGAAGCTGGAGTTGATGATGTAGTGGTGACTCAGCTAGTCTGGTGCTCAAATGCAATGTTGCCACTCAAGTTGGAAAGAAGTTAGCTTGAGTTTTCTACACTCGTTACTGAAATGAAGACAAGCCCTCTAGTACACCTGTGTCTCCCCAGGTGTTTTTCATTGCCCACTGTGTACCTGGCAACTGAAATATTACATTTTGTTGTGCAAAATGTTATAATGGGTGTAAGTCTAGAATATAGAATCTAAATAGAAAAGTGTCAACAAAGAAAAAGGAATGTAATAAATCAGAAGTGTCATACTGCAGTGGTAGTAAAAGTGATGTGCATTGTAGATTTCTGAAATCAGTAAGGAGAATAGTCAGGAAGCCATTGTCTCCATCAAAAATAGAGAACTTAAGTTTAAACTCTGTGAGAACTGACCTACACATTTCAGAAGAGAGTCATCCTTTCATCAGACTGAATTTCAAATTTAAATGAACATCTGAAAGGGAGAGAGACAGAAAGAGAGAATGAAAATGTGTTTTTAAAACTTTTTAGCTGTTAAAAACAGATTGTCATCTTCTCCTCTTCTGGTCAGGAAGAAGTGAGGGACCAACAACTACCAGCACGCCTGGACACAAGAAATAAATGTGTGTCAATTTCACACTTTACAGTGAAAAGGTGCAGTGATGCACTTCTAGCACCCAATGATGCTATGTAAAAGTATAAATACCAAAACTTGCAAGCTCCTTTGCATGACCTAATATGAAGTCCATAAGTGACTGGAAATTGCTGTTGTCTTGTCCTGGTTCTATTGAAATCTTAGACTAGGCCAGTGGTTCTCAAACTTTTTGGCCCACGGCCCACCCTGCTCAACACAAACCTTTCTGTGGACCACCAGCCAAATACCCATGATGAAAAAATAGGTGCGGGAGAGATGTAAGGTCTCAACAGTGGGAATGTGTGAAAGGGACGGGGGTGCAGGATGTGGACATTAGGAGGATGCGGGGGTGCTTACCTATCTTTGCACCACCACCCCACCCCCCCCCCGCTGTTCCCAGGCACCATGTCCAAGGCACCACCGCCTGCTCCTCCCATTGGCCATGATTCCAGCCAATGGAAGTAGTGGGGAAAGCCACCAGGCAATGCTTCTCTGTGCTGTCATTCCTCCCAGTGCTCACTCTACAAACTGGATCCACTGGGAAGCCAGCACTGGCACTCCAACCTCATGGGGTGCAGGAGATGCGTGGGGCTGGAGTGCCATCACTGGCTCCCTGGTGCAGGTACAAGGCTGAGCCTCGAGCCATGGCCCACCTACAAGGTGGCCACAGACCACAAGTGGTCTGTGGACCACACTTTGAGAACCACGGGACTAGGAACAGATATTCCCTTAAACTAAATGTGTATTCCTTTTATAGCATAAAAACTAAAGGAAAGGGAGAGATAAATCAGCTCTGAAGTATGTATTTATAGTTGAATCCTCTTTTGTTTTTTCCCTTTGAGGTATACAAGAAACATTTGCAATTTGTGGAATCGCTATTCATGGTTCTGCATATTTGCAGCTCTTGTGTCCTGGCCAGGGAGGGTTGTTGTGGGCGTTGGGAACTGCTGGGCACTCACCGCAGCTCTGCAACTCCTGGCAGCTATGGGGTGTTCCCAGTGGCTCCCAGCCTCCACAATGGGTTCGGGAGCTGTGAGGAGCTCACCGCAGGGGTCGGGAGACACAGTTTTCAATATTCACAAATTTGGCCATTCGTAGCGGATCCGGGACGCATCCACTGCAAATGGCAAGGGTGTCCTGTATTATACAGTTACGTACAAAAATTATTTAAAATGTTGTTTAGATTGCAAAGTCAAGCACTCAAAAGTTAGGAAGTGACAGAATTAACATCTATGCAATCTTCATTCAGCTCCCTTGTGCGTATGGATCATAATATTCTCATTAGTTACGTGTAACTTTTCAAAGGACCTGGACTCATTTAGTGCATAGTACGACTGGGTGTCAATTAATGAGCAGCTATTCAATATTTTTTTCTCCCAATTGTTCAGTAGGCCAAGTATTTTATACTATATTTATTCCTGTTTTGATAGGCTATGTAAATCCACGTGGGGACACTGCTCTATATACAATAAGAATCCGCCTCTAGGATTTTCTTTTAGAAAATTGTATATGCAGCTGGATGAGGGCAGTCTCACCTTTAATGCCAACCCTGATGAGGTAAGTGGAGTGTTGTTAACATCAGCAACAGTTGCAGTAATTTTAATAACGTTAACAAAATTGTTCATGGGAACACTGAATTTGTACCAACATTAGAAGTTGATTTTTAGTGTATACTGTACTATGTGAATACTGACTACGAAGTTATGGCCCTATACTGATCTTTTATGCTTACAGTACCCAGGCATGTTATTTACTTGCTTGACTCATAAGTACTTTGCACAACAGTCTAACAGATGTCAGAAATTCACAATCACATCCTGACTTGGGAGTAGTATCCATATTTTAAAAAAATCTTACTGTGTAATATGCTCTTGGTTCTGCTTTCATTGACATCAGTGCCAAAACTCCCATTAATTTTAGTGGAGTAAGATCAGGCCCTAAAAGCAAATGAAACCTGCCACAGAGTGGAACACCAATTAAGTCTAGGATGGTAGCAGACACTGTTTATAAAAAGTCTTCAAAGATAATGCACAAATTTCCAGTTTCAAGGTGCAAATGTTGAAATAGTATTTATCTTGCCCTACCTATAACATATGTGATAAAATCCCACTGATGAAACAAAGCTCTTATAGACTGAATTTTTGTAAATAGCAGTGATTTTTATTTTTTTTTGAATCCTTCCATTTTAATAAACATAACTCATTCTGTTACATTAAATATGTACATTTATTTTAAATAAAATGATCTGTCTTAGAACTAAACAAAATTGTTTACCTATTAATTCATATAACTAATCAAAAACCAAACTAACTTCTAATGTAGTCACATCTTTGCTTGTGTAAGGAAAAAATCTGAGAGAACCAGGTTCAGCCTAGCAAATATGTGGTAAAAACCTTACCAGCATTTTGAAAATATTCCCTTGTATATAAAATTAGATTCCCCAAGCATCATATTTCCTTCAAAAAGATGATAAATTGCACTGAAAAAACGGAGTCTTCTCACAAAATACAGACATGATATTTGGATAAATCCAGAGTAGTAAAAAGTTAGTGTTACTTCCCATTTTATGTTTAGAAAAAAATGATTGGTTCATTCAGTATGATACAGATAATGTGTATTTATAATTCACTCCAACAATTTTAAAGCAGTCATATATGCAATGCCACAAAGTAATTTGGTTTAAATTCTTTGAGTCATTTGCCCTAGCACACATTTTTGTCCTTTGACTGCTGAAAGCCACACAGGGTTGATTTAGTTAGTGTTGGTCCTGCTTTGGGCAGGGCACTGGACTCAATGACCTCCTGAGGTCTCTTCCAGCCCTAGGATTCTATGCTCTTTTTTTATAGATCACAAAATAAAATATAACACCCAGTTCTTTTGATATAGTACAAAAAGAAGAGGGTAGAAAACCTTGAGTCCCATTGAAGTTTTCAGTATCTTACAGCTCAAGTTAAGAACAATTCATATATTTATTTCCAGAATAATGTTAGTAGAGATATTACTAGAATGAGACTTATAAATGAGAGTTTACATAGAGATATATAACATTTGCTTAGAAGAGTACAAGTGCTAATCCTAGTATCCAGGCCAAGTCCTAAATTTGGTAACAGCTCTGCCTACATACAGTTCTCCCTGCAGTTTCAATTGGATATATTATTATTCGCTCCTGTCCTGCCGTGCGCAGGTACACTCCAATTTAGCAATGATGTTAATTGTTCTATAGTGTAAAGCACTCTGGGATCCTTCATAAGAAATGTACTATATACAGATACATAATTTTTATTGTACGTGAAAATTAACAATTTGTAAATATTCTAATGGTCTAATTTATATGTTAAATTTATTACAGTACATTTGCTGCTTCATGATTTGTGATTGTCAATCAGAATATGAACAGTCAAGTTCAGGTTCCCTGGGAACTTGGAATTTCATAGTAACTCTTCAGCCCTTTTGGTCTTTTCTCCCTGTGGAGCATCATAGCCTGGCAGAAAGTGTTTTGGACCTGAAAGTAGAAAAAAACATTCACTTGTTTATTTTCTTTACAACTGTGATATTGGCAGAATTATTACTATAAGGACACTGACTGGAATATGATATGAAATACCATTCCATTATTATAAATCTTATGTCTTAAAATTTCCTGCCCAACTTTGCTTTACATTTGGTAACAGACCTAATTAAAATATTATAAAAATAAGAATACTTACAGCCACAGGAGCAAGATTCTCCAAAGGACACCGCCCATGTCATGAAAATGGGTAACCAAGCTCCACAGCAGCAACTCCAGAGCTAGCGGTGGCTCACAGGGTGGGGGAGAACATCTGCACATTTTGTGGTAGGATTATCTGGTTCGCCATTGTTGTGTGCATGGCGTTGTGAAATCTGCTGTATATGCTATATTGACAGTGTGCATGAGCTTGCATAATTCATGGCAGGTGACCGCATTCTACTAAAGAATGTGCCTAACCATGTTTACACATCATGTGACAACCTCCTTATGCATGTGCAAGACTTGTTTGTTTTTTATTTTTATTCCATTGGCAATGCCCTCCTAACTAAAATCTATTTTTTTTAACTACAAAATGAATCAGGAAATTTTAAGAGTTTGAGAATTATTTTTATAAGGAGCCAACTTAATTTCTGCCACATATTATTCTAAATAATATATTGTGTGCGTGAAACTTTTCCACACAATACTTATTCCATATCATGCAGACTTATTACTCAAAGTTTGGAGTATTAATAAGTATTACTCAAAGTTTGGAGGATAGATAAATAAAGTATACTCCCAAGATTAAGTGGATAACTGAGCCTCAGAATAAACTAGAAAGGGAGATGGGAGAGAATATTTTCCCCAGAAAAGATGCCCAATTTCTGTTTTACCCTTAATGTTAATAGTCTTAACTGAATTCATGAATTTATTAATGATTTGTTTGTGAATAACAGTGACATTTTGATCACTGAAGTCAATGGTAAAACTGTTATTGAGGTCAGAGGCAAGATTTTCACCTATAGAGCATAATAATGTTCTAAACTATAGTGAGTATAATGCATCTGTAATTGAGTTTGACAGGTTACTTTCTCATCCTCCTCTCTTCCTTTGAATTGTTCCTAATTTTGTCAGACTAATTCATGATTGGTTGGTGAGGGAGAATTTTCTGTGCTTTCCAGGTGAGAAGTGAGATTTTTTTTCAGAAGTTTTGAGCAAAACTAACTAGTCTGTTTTTATTTTGTTTAATAATCACAATTGTGTGCAGAAAATGCTCTTTCCCGTGTGGTTTTTGTCCAAATTCTTGTGCAAGGTAATCAGCTCATGACAAAAACATATTTAAGGAGTAACCTAGGTTAAAGGAAATGTTCAGCTGTGTTAAAGTCATGAGAATTGAAAGTGAAATGGGGACTGTCATGTATGTATATTTTTATTTTCAATTGACCTCATTTTCACATTTCAGGGCATCTGCACCTTTATTACCCCTTTATAATTGCACAAGGCCTTTCTATAGCCTGCCAAAGGCACCCACGATTAGACTTTCAGCTCCCCAGCCATAACTTCTCTCCCTCTTGACTGGGATATTTCCAGGCTGCACAGTTCCCTGACTCTATTGTGCAGTAAAAGACTTTCGTACACAAGCCTACATAACCTCTCTGATTAGAGACTGAACACAGTGTAATTGCCACAGTTAATTCTCTAGAACTCTGAATGGTATCTCTAATAAATTCCTTCAATCTGACCTTTCCTTTCATAAGATGCATCCCTGGCAATCCATTCTGATAATCATCTAGATTTGCATCAAAGAGCAGCACCTCAACTTCCTCACACATGTAAATTGTCCACTTTTTCTGCTGTTTATCTATTAGTTTTAATACATTTCCATGTGCTACAATAAATCCTATGCTGATGCTATCTTGAAGTCTAGCTTTGGCATGGTAAGTCCATCTGAAACTAAATTTGAGGCCATGTTCAAGAATTGCTCACCGTGGAATTTGCATCTTTGTACGTATGTGATGGAAGCTGGACCCCTAAGGCAAACAATGAAAAGCAGTTAAAAAGGTTTAACATGCATATTGAAAATAACTGCAGGGGTACTACAGTAATGTGGAGTGAAGTGAATGCAGATGAAGAAAAAATAAATTGATATTACACAATTTCAGGCATCTATCCAGGAAATATGGAGGCATGATAAGGAAAAGGGGTAAAATCAGAGGGAATTTAAATAAGAACTGGTGTAATGCTTTGGAATTAAATGGTAAAATGAGAAAGGTGTGACATGAACAACTAGTGATCATAAGCTAGACCCTGTTATGATAGTTACTTCCCTAGTCAAGCAAGGCCCATGATAATGACTGTTAGTTGCATATACTTTAAATAGCCTTTTTCAAATTTAGAATTGCATCCCAAGGTTCTGCTGTCCCAAACCACAGTATTTGCCAGGCCAGGGGAGGTCAGTGCTCCCCTGTTGGCTGCTCCACTCCTGGGCACCTCTCCCTTGGGTTCTCTGCCCTGCCGTAGGCCCCGCCCCCTGGCCAGAGGTTCGTTGGTCGGGGCAGGAGCTCCCCTGGCCGCCACCTGGTCCAGCTGCTGCTGGCCCAGCTGGGGCTCCCCAGCCTCGTGTTCTCTCAGCTGGCTCCTGCTACCATCTCTGGGAAACTTTAGTCCAGCAACATCCATGACCTTACTGGACCAGGGATGTTGCCGGACTAGAGAGTCCCAGATTTGGGAAGCTCAACCTGTAGTACAATGAGGAAGGAAGGCACAGACAGTTCACCTTAGAAATCACCTTTTCTCAGTCTGCACTCCTGATAGCCAAAGGACAAAGCTGGCTGCAGAAACAAGTTAGAGCGGCCATGGAACTGCTGTAAATCATGGCCATTTGAAAGGTGGTTTTAGGACCATTTCACTGGATCAGGATTGTCCCTCCCAATATGCCCTGACCATCCTTAAACCACTTCTATCCAAACATTGATGGGAAACAGGTGACATAAAGCTTAATAGATTAACTGGCTTTATTCCAACCAAGTATTCCCTATGCTGCAGGAATCCTCAAATGCCTGCTTAAGATGGATCAGTGCAATAGGTCTTTAAGGCTGATAATTTGACTTTTCTTTAGCCTCCTTGTAGAATTATGCCCTTCAAATAGCATACATTCATCGCGGAACATGTTTATCAAACAAGTGACTTTGGGAAGCAGGGAGGTAAAGGGGATTCCATCAACATACAACAGTTTATAAATTTAGCGTGCAAATTGTCCAGTGTCCTTACAAATAACCTTCACTTACCTACAGCATGAGCAAACAAAAACTAGGGAGTGCATCTTCCAACTCTGGGAGAAAAAGTCCAGATTGTCTCTCTAGAGCAGATGACCTTTTTCATTGTGAAGGTAGATGGTAAATCCATTCTGTTCAGCTTGGGGGAGGATGTCCAATGTCTTCATCTGTTAGTAACTCTCTGCAGTAAGTGCTGTGTTTAAATATAGGCTATTACTCAAGACCCCAGTTCACCTGAGCACTTTAAATATATGTTTATATCTAAGCACATAAGTGTTTTGCTGAATCAGAATGCAAGATTAAGGAGGCAGAATTAAACAGAACATGTAAGGAGAGATTGTGTTGCTGTTTTGCTTTTTTCATAGTTAAGCAATTGTAAAAAATAGTTGAGACACCAGTGAACAATTTTTCAATCATTTGGATAATCAATTTCAGTTTCCTAGTTAAGCCTTGATTCAGAGTAGTACTTAAGCATGTGTTTAAGGCCATTCCTATATAGAACAGCCCAGTTAAGTCCCAATTAGGTCAATAGGTATTAAGCACATACTTAAAGCATGCATTAATTTAAGTACATGTTAAAGTGCTGCCCTGAATCTGGATGCTTCCCTGAATCAGACTCTAAAATTACCACGATTCCTTACTCCTAATAGAAAATTGTTTGCATATATTCATTTTTGCATATATTTAAAATATTGTTTTGATTTTAACCAAAGCACTGTGTTATTGCAGGGAATATTTTTGCAAATACTAAACAAAATTTATGGACCAGTAAAAAATAATGGCTAGGTATTATATTATGTTTGGTGTGCATGCTAGTCTTTCACCTGTGTTTTAGGTAAAGTCCCTGGTTATCCTCTTAAGATGAATTTTCTAGTTTCCTGTTTGTTTGACATTTCAGCTTTTCTGTCTTACTAAGCTGTCTCACTTTTTTATAAAATAACTTTCCAGGTTAAAAGCTCAGTCCCACACTCCTTATTTATGCAGAACTTCAGTCGGCCTGATTGGGAAGGTTGCCTGTTTCCCCCACTCCCATGCTGTCTTCATAGATATAACAAATCAAAAAGGGAAATTTGCAAAATATTATGAAGTCGTGGCATAGGAAGATTTATAATGGGTGGAGGGGGTAAGGTTTATCTTATTTGGTGATTGTGGGAATTGCACTGATAGCTAAAGCAAATTAAGACACTAGATTGTGCATTTGCACAAATTTCAGCATTGTTATCACTGTAGTGATGCCATATTTATTGCTGAAGACACAATTTGAGCTTAAGACCCTTCCCAAAAAAAAGTTACGCTCTGAGATTAAATTTTTTATGCAGGTTGAAACTCTCTTAACTGGGACACTCTGGTCACTAGACCATGGATGTTCCAGGACCAGAAAGTCTCAGTGGAGGGCTAGTGCCACGGCTGCAGGAGCCCCACATTCAGCAGTGGAAGCCCAGAACAGAGGCTGCAGGGCTGCCTGGAGCACCAGCTGGAGCCAGGCTTTGCAGCAGGACCCCAGCATGCAGAGGCAGCAGGACTGTCTGGTAGAGCAGTGGGGGCTGAGAGGACAGCAGTGCCAGGGAGACAGGGGAGCCAGCTGGGAGGGCAACAGTCAGGCCAGGTCTGCAGGGGGCTGGTGACGGGGGGGAAGAAATGATCACCCCGGTCTGATAAAATCCGTCATCTGGGAGACGGGTCAGGTCCCAAGGGTGCCGGACCAGGGAGGTCCAACCTCTAGTTGTTTTTTTTCCTCTTTCTCTGTCTCCCAATCCCAAACATTTTTGTTAAAATCCAGTAAGATGTTTTTTAGTTATAAGACCATGACAAAAGTAGTTTTCATTCTTTGAGATTTTTTTTTTTTTTTTTAAGAAAAAGCATCCAAAAATTCTTAAATGTTGTATTCGTATTTTCAAATTTGGCATGGACATACAGTGAGAAATGTGTGCTTGACAAAGGGTCGGAAAATAGCTGTAATGTAGAAGTAATATATAAGTGAATAGATCACATGATATATGTTCATTCTGTCACTTTCTAAACCAGTCTCCTTTTTTAAATCAGGCAGAGGCAGACTGATGTTGAATTTTTGTATGTATTTGTGTATGTATCTGGATCTGCACTTTGAAATAAAAACTTGCATTTCTTTAATTTATTATACATTTAAATGTATATAGTGCATTTATTTGAATGTGATCCTATATGCCTGGAAGAACATTGAAATCAATGCTTTAAATAAAAAGAAATTAAAGTCAAAAAGCACATTACGGCCAAGATGCATACCATTGTTATTATAAGTCGACATAGAAATTATAAATTATGATCCCTACAACAAACATAATATAATCATCTCGTGTGTGTGTGAGAGAGAGAGAGAATATCCGCCAAATGTGCTTGTTGCGGGATCTGTAATGTTGAATTTCCTACTGTTAGTACATGTAAAAGCTGAACCATAATGTTGCATTAATTTTATATAACATATATGCATTAAATGTGTATTAATTGTAGACTGCACTGTGCATGTTGAAATGCAATTTAAAGGATGAAGAAGGTATTATGCATTAGTATTATTATTAGTTCCAGTATCATTACTATATTTGCCCGTAAAAGAATTGTTAAGGCCAATCTTATTTATATACAGATGTCCTTTGTTTTGTCTCAGGGAGTTAACTACTTTATGTCCAAGGGTATATTGGATGATTCACCAAAGGAAATAGCTAAGTTTATCTTCTGTACAAGAACACTAAATTGGAAGAAATTGAGAATCTATCTTGATGAAAGGTAATTTGAATCTAACGAGGAAAAAATTCTGTATTCATTTTCAGTCTATAGCACTTTTCTGTAATCACTCTTCTTATATGTACTAATCTAATGAAGAATTTTCTTTATTGCAAAATTTTCTAAGTAAGTTTAAACTCAGAGATTCAGCTAAAATATATTATTCCTAAAGCAGAACATTTACTTAGTTCTAGCATTTGTGTGTGTACCACCATATATATAAGCATAGTGTGTTTATCTAGTAAAGGTCAAATAGTGAACTTGTTTCCACATTTTCACTTCCAAGCTTAAGTTATATTTCTAACTGGAATGTCACCTTATATGGGTGATCATTGGGCTGTCTAGCATTGGAATGTTGTTCTAAATACTTGCTATGTATATTTTTCCTGTTTCTTAAGAAAGAGATTCACCTTTACTTCCCATAAGAGTGAGTTATGCTTTAAGCAAGACATTGTGTTTGGACTGGAGTGTGGAAATTGTAGATGTGTAGGCTGGAATTCCAGATACTGATGCTCCATAATCCATACTTGGATTGTTTCTGCCACTGGATCAGAACATTTTTGGATCTCTTGCTGCTCTGCTGGATTGCTTCCAGATTTCTCTTGCACATCAAGCTCTTTTGATATTCCGGGGATAGATGAAGCATGCACTTCCATAAAATCTGAGTGTTGCAGAGGACCTGAATATCCCCTTTTGAGCATGGTTTTAACAGAATGCTACTTTAGCTGTTTGTTCATGTACATAAGCCCTAAAAGACATATTGTGTATTTATTCCTTTTCCTTAACTTTGTCAGGCATTCTTGCAGACTTAACTTCCTCTGTGTGTGTGTGTGTGTGTGTGTGTGTGTGTGCGCGCGCGCGCGCACGCTCACAAATTTAGAATATTACTTTAGGCTGAAGTATAATAAAGTATTATGCTTAAGTATACAAAGCTGTAGTAGCAGTATGAGGAATCTGTTTCCTGTTTTTGTGTTGTCATTTTTGAATTTTTTTTCTTCATTTGCTCATGACAGAAAATACCTATAATTTAAATTCTTACGAAATGTTCATTTTAATTTATGAAGCCTTGTTTCATATTTAAATAGTTGAAAACATTTCTCTAAATATGTTTTTCTTTTCCAACCAGGAGAGATGTTTTGGATGACCTTGTGACACTGCACAATTTCAGAAATCAGTTCTTGCCAAATGCACTGAGAGAGTTTTTCAGACACATTCATGCCCCTGAGGAGCGAGGGGAGTATCTTGAGACTCTTATAACAAAGTTCTCACACAGATTTTGTGCTTGTAATCCTGATTTGATGAGAGAACTTGGCCTTAGTCCTGGTAAGAAGAGAGGACTTCTTTACAATCAACGAGTCTGTATTTATCTACATTTACTTTGTAAAGTTTTACTTTTCATAGTGGGTTTAAATGAGGGACTAATTACATTTACAAGGATTAGTCTTGGCAGAGGATCAGGTTTGAGCAGGAGCTACCATGATACAGACAAGTAAAAGTAATTTTAAAAACTTTTGATTTGGGTATCTACAAGAGGAAAATCACTAACAGGTAAACAACTTCCATGTACAAAAATGTGGCATCTTTTTCCTTCACCCTGATCTGCCCTTTATCTCTGTGGTCTCTATAGGTTCTGACCCTGCAAAGACTTACACATATGCTTAACTTTACACCATATGAATAATCTCACTAATGCAAATAGGAATGAATTCCTGGCCTCCCTGAAGTCAGTGGGTGTTTTGCCATTGACTTCAGTGGGGCTAGGATTTTATCCAATGAGATTACTTACTTACTTAGTGTTAAGAACATACATAGTAATTGCACTTCAAGACCCTGTTCCTGCAAACTCTTCAGGGCAAGGATCTGTCTACCTTCATGAATGTAAAGAATTTTGCATAGTTTAGATGCCATGTAAATATTAATAAATTGATCAGTTTTATTTAGTGCTGCACTATCTTTATGACTTTTAATAATAATTGGTTTTCATGGGCTGTTCCATGTGAGTAAAGTTGCTTGTGCGTATTTTTTCAAGCATGCCCTTAAGACTGCAAGATCCTTAAAGCAAGGACTGGTCATTTTAGTTGCCTGTAAGGCACAATCCATACTTACAATTCTATAAACAATAACTTCATAATGTTCTCTTTTCTTTAGATGCAGTTTATTTACTATGTTACTCTTTGATTCTGCTTTCCATTGATCTTACCAGCCCTCATGTGAAGAACAAAATGTCAAAGAGAGAATTCATCCGAAACACACGACGTGCTGCTCAGAACATTAGTGAAGATTATGTAGGGCACCTTTATGACAACATCTACCTTATTGGCCATGTGGCTGCCTAAAAGCACAATTTGCTAGGACTTAGAATTTATAGTTTACAAAAACTAAAGCTACCCACGGAATTAATTATTTTGTAGATATGGGGGTTATATTAGTGCTGGTCATTCTAACCTCTGTATACAATCACAATGTGTGTTGTATGTACTACCTTTTTTAGCAATTTACCATGGGAACCGAAGGATTTTGCAGAGTTTTTTCTTAATTTTGTTTATGTTTTGCACAAAGCCGTGCCATTAGTCTGACACAGCCATTTACGAATGTTAAACTGACATTACAGTCTAAAGCTGACAAGATGGTGAATTTGTGCACTAGATTTGCTTGAAAACTTTAACCAGTTCCATTCTTTTTTAAAATACCATGTAATGTGTACATATTTAACTAAAGAGATTTATAATCATTATTTTATTGTAAAATATTTTAACTAAAGTTTTTCCTTTTTCTCTCTTAAAAGTAGTCTTGTATTTCTTCCTTTTACATTTAAAACTTTGTCTTTATTTTTGTAATGCTGGTTTTCTCAGATAATGCTTGTCCTGTCACTTCATCAATGTTTGTACCAGGATCCAAACATTTGTGAAGTGTCTAAATTTTTAATATTGCATTAGCTAACTTGAATTAATTGGCAGTCAGTTACTAACTCAGGTTAAAATGAGTCAAGTCAAACTCTAGTTAGACAAACTCTGAGGACCAGTCTCTGAGGCAGAGGCTCATCTACACTACAAGTTTTCTTGGCAAAAAACATGCTGAGGGACTCATTTGCATGACTTATGATCTCATTTGCATATTTTCTGCCAATCCATTTTGTGCAAAAATAAGCAGTGTGGACGTTTTCTTTTTGCGCAAAAACCCTTTTTCCCCACAAGATCTTTATGCCCCAAAAAAGGAGGTATACCGATCTTGCGGAAAAAGTGATTTTTGCCCAAAAAGAAAATGTCCACACTGCTTGTTTTTGCGCAAAACCCCCTAGTGCAAAAACGGATCGGCAAAAAGTATGCTAATGAGATCATGACTCATGCAAATGAATCCCTCATTAAGAATTTTCTCGGCAAAAAATATGCTAGTGTAGTCGTAGCTTAAGAGTAATAGTTTAGAAAAATTGAGCCTTTTAATTTTAAGTTTGGCGCCACCCCTTAACATATAGCATAAATGCAGTTACAATTATGTTAGCTCATTGTGTGATAAGGTAGGACATGTCAAGACTAGCAACATGTTAACCTATTATGTGCTAACCTTAACCTTACCTCAACCAGTTTCCCAATCTAGATATTCCAGAATTAGGGATAAACATAATCAATTAACACAATTTTGAAGTTGTTAAACTGTGGCTTCTTGAGGGGGAAGAGGATAAATTTTCTAACAATTTTTAAAAGCACCTTTTCCTAGACTATTAGCCTTGTAGGCAGATTGACAGGGGATCCTAACTGGTTTGGCTTGGAAGTTGCCCCTCCCCACATTGCCATGGTTCTGTTGCTCTCTGCCTTGGAGGTGCACTCCAGGATCTTCCTGCTTGCTGTGCGGGATGGGGAAGAAAAAAAGGGGATGGTGATGTCAGGGTTTTCCCCTCTCCCTACCCCTGTACCACATCTCCACAGAGTGAGCAGGACAAGGCCTCTGAGAAGGAGTGAGGCACGGCAAGAGCAGGGACTCAGAAGGGGAAAGGATGTGGGGCAAGTGTATTTGGGTTTAAGGTAGATCCTGGATTGATTTAAATTGAAAAAGTGATCTTGTGCTTAAAAAGATTGGAGACCACTGGGTTACAGTGAATAGGAAACTCTTAGCTAAGTTACTTAGCCAAGTTACTTAGCTCACTGTTTCTCTTTATGATCCATGATGTTTAGTTGTTCCTTAATTTTCTCTCTCGATGTTTATTTCGATACATATAGTTTCATCTGTCTGATTATACAGCGTAATCTTTACAAACCAGCAGGGAACAAACACACATGCTCTTTAAAGTGACCTGGTCAGAGATGTAAAATGAAGTTCCTAGGTAGTATCTCCCAGGTGCAAGGTACTTGGAAAAAAAATAGGAAGGATAACAGTGAATTTTGAAAGTACAGATAACCTTCGCAGGCAAAGCTTTTTCTGCAAGAAATGTCCCTGTGGGTACTCCACAGTAGGTGTCAGTGCACCCCTGAACTGCTGATTGGAGTCTTTAGAACGCATCCTCAGTTCCCTGGTATTGCACACGCATGACCCTTCTCTTCTCTCTCCCCCCCCCACCTCAGCAGTTCCTTCTCTTTCATCCCCAGCCAGAGACCAAGCTCTGCAGTGTTCTTCAGACAACTTGTCTCTTCGTTTACTTGCTAGATAGTATAAAATTCCTGTGGGAGATTTTTTCTTCATGGCCACATGTAACTTTGTTGTTATCAAATTCACGTCTTTACAGGTGCTGCTTACAGGAGTGGCTCAGAAGGGTGTACGAACCAAACTTACACCCATTCTTCAAACCTCCCTCCAGCAGTTAAATAATCTCTGCATTGGTGGACAGTGGCCAAAAACCTTTGTTAGAGGGTTCCCTGTATCACTTAAGAACTCTCCTTAACTATAACTACGGATGCCTCCCTCACTTGAGTGGGGAAGAGGAGTGCACATCTAGCACAGCATACTGCTCAGGGACTTTGACCCACTGCAGAAAGAGCTCTACACGTAAATGTTCTGGAACTTCAGGTAATATATGCCTGCAACCAATTTCTTCTCCTCATTGCCAACAAGCACGTTAGAATATACATGGATAATATAACCTCCTTTTTTTAATATAAACTAGCATGGTAGTGCCCACTCACGTGCACGGTGTACAAAGTCCATGACCCTATGGAACTAGTGCCCCAAATACACAGTAACAATAATCACCTTTCGTCTTCACAGTGTTCTCAACACTATGGCTGGTGCTCACAGCAGAGCACTTCCCACAGAGCATGAATAGCAGATCAACAATATCATCACATTAATTTTCAATGGGGTCATCCTACAATAAACCTCTTCACTACCTACACCAACAAAAAATGGCAACTCTTAATGCTCCAGAGTGGGAATGGGCAAGGGATTCCTAGGAGATGCCCTTCTAAGCAAATGGAACTTCCACCTATATGCATTCCCACCTATTCCTTTCCTAAATAAGGTGGAACAGAGTCATTGCCATACAATAGTCCCAGTATGGCCCTGACAACCCTGGTACTCCTTCCTAATCAGAATGGTGGAAAAACTGACAATTTCACTGCCACTGACCCATGATCTCTTGTACTAACCAGGAACACAGGCATGGTACCTCAATGGCTCTCTGCTTAACAGTTAAAATATTCTGAATCTGTCCAGCAAGTTCTACTTTATAGCAGAGCTCAGAATGCTCACAAAACATACACACAAAAATGAAAAAGGTTCTCCCTCTGGTGCTCTGACAAGTAAGTTCCTCCAACTATGGCCTATAATCCTTCTGTACCTATTACACCTCAAACAAATAGGCCTCACCTAGGTTTCATTCAAGTACATCCTGCTACTATAACCACGTTTCATCTAAACATTGATTATCCATCAATAGTCACACATCCAGTCACTAAAAGATTCTTCAAGGGTTTCCAAGCACTTTACCCAAGTATCAGACCATCACATGAACTCTGGGATCTCCACCTAGACTTAAACACTTTCAAACACACCCTGGCTGTGTCTACATTGGCACCCTTTTCCGTAAAAGGGATGCTAATGAGACACTTCGGAATTGCAAATGTCGCGGGGGATTTAAATATCCCGTGCAGCATTTGCATGAACATGGCTGCCGCTTTTTTCCGGCTCGGGGTTTTGCCGGAGAAAAGCGCCAGTCTAGACGGGATCTTGCAGAAAATAAACCCTTTTCCGGAAGATCCCTTATTCTTACTTGAAAGTAGGAATAAGGGATCTTCCGGAAAAGGGTTTATTTTCTACCAGATCCCGTCTAGACTGGTGCTTTTCTCCAGCAAAATCCCAAGCTGGAAAAAAGCTGCAGCGATGTTCATGCAAATGCCGCGGGGGATATTTAAATCCCCCGCAGCATTTGCAATTCCGAAGTGTCTCATTAGCATCCCTTTTACGGAAAAGGGTGCCAATGTAGACACAGCCCCTTTGAATTGAACTTAAACACTCCTCCCTCCTACACCTGTCAATGAAAAAGGCATTCCTCGTCACCATCTCATCGGCCAGATGAGTGGGAGAGATTACTATGCTCATGGAGGATCCTCCATACACAACCTTCTTCAAAGACAAAGTGACCTTCCACATCCATCCAGAATTTTACCTAAGATACATTCTTCCGTCCACTTGAATCAAACCTTCCTATGTTTTTCCCAAAGCTTCATGCCAACTCATTCCTATCTATCTCATCCCACCTCCACCCCTCCTCATCTGTCTTAAGTACCCTTCTCATGAGTCCATTCTATGAGAAGAAATAAGTCATCTTCTGCAATTGGGAGCCAAAGAACAGGTCCTTCACTAGGACAGGGTTTCTACTCCCACTATTTTCTGATTCAAAAGAAATTCAGCAGTTGGTCTATCTTAGGCCTTCACAATTTAGACAAATTAGTCAAGCTGCAACATTTAAGATGGTTACCCTCTCCACTTGTATCCCAGCACTGCAGCCGGGGGACATTCTTGGCCCTCAACTACCAAGATCCATATTTTCATATTCCCATACATTCAGTTGACAGACGATACATTCAGTTTGTTGTATCATCCCACTGCCAATAAAAAGCACTACCCTTTGTATTATCCATGGCACCTTGCATGTTCTCCAAAGTCCTTTAAGTAGCCACAGCCTACTTAAAAAAACAGGATATGATCATTTTTCCAGACAAGGACAACTGCTTCCTCAAGGCCCCATCCAAAAACAATGTTTGCCAAGTCATCCGCATAACAATAAACATGTTAATGAAGTTAGGCTGCCTCATGTACCTAGCAAAGTCAACTCTAATGCCAGTACAACAGCTGGAATTCATTGATGCACTGTTGGGTGTCATACAAGCCAGATCCTTCCTACCATCTCACATATTCTTGGTTATCAAGGATCTGTAACCTGTCACATAGATCTGTCCCCATTTCCAGCTTCTAGGCCACACAGCAGCATCCATGATTGTGGTCAGGCACTCTAGACTGCAGGGCTGTGTCTAGACAGCCGCTTTTCTGGAAAAACTTGCCAGCTGTCTACACTGGCCGCTTGAATTTCCGCAAAAGCACTGACTTCCTACTATAAGAAATCAGTGCTTCTTGCGGATATACTATTCTGCGCCTGTTCAGGCAAAAGTCCCTTTTGCGCAAAGCTTTTACGCAAAAGGGCCAGTGTAGACAGCTCAGATTTGTTTTCCGCAAAAAAGCCCCGATCGCGAAAATGGTGATTGGGGCTTTTTTGCAGAAAAGCACGTCTAGATTGGCACGGACGCTTTTCTGCAAAAGTGCTCAAACAGAAAACTTTTCCG